TCCTGTAAATCATAATTCACTGTATTAATAATACAAAACCAATAGCCAAGGTGCGTGGAATTTAAAAAAAAAAAAGCTGAGTCATCCCTCTTAAAAAATTGAGTCCCCAACGATGGTCGGGTCATAATAAACATATTTTTGCGACAAATGAACATAAATAGTGAAAGCCTTATGTAGGCTAAAAACAAAAAAAATAGTGAAAGCCTTATAAATGTGGCCCAAAACAAGTCGTCTGACATTAAACTATGAATATCGGCAATATTTGGCTAAATAAATATTTAAATTTTTTTGAATTCGAGCAAGAAGTCTATAATGATCAACACTTATCAATGATTAAATTAAATTAAATGGAACATTGAATATTGAATAATTCTTAAAAGAATGCATTATTTACTAATATCTCCGTTTTAAATTATAAGACACTTTTGAAGGAGTTTTTCTGTTCCAAAATATAAGATACTTTGAATAAATTAATGTTTCATTAAATACGTTAATTTCAATATTTCCCTTCTTCTTTCTATAATTAATATTGGTCTCTTCTCTTTTCAATATATTAAATTATGGGTATTTTTAAAAGTTTATATTTTTATTTTGGAAAGATAAGGTTGTTAAATGTATTTAATGAAATTTATTAGTATGTGAGATTTTATTTAAAAATATTTTATAATTTGGGACAGAGGGAGTATAATATAAAAACTCTTAAAAATTATGGATTAATAAGCATCTTAAACCCTAAACTATTACTCAAATAGTATTCTGGACCCTGAACAAATGAACAAAAACTCCCCTCAACTTATAAATTCTAAGCAAATTATTTTAGTCATTTATTTGTACAATGTCAACCATTATGTAGCTCAAATGGTGTGCCATGTGTCAAAAAGGAAATTTGTGCCATGTCATCCTTTGATTGGGCTCTACAAAGTCAAAAGTAATGGTGGTTATATGTAAATTAACTGCAGAGAGTAATTTGTTACTCAAGTAATGGTTTAAAATCTATGATATTCATTTTAAGAGTTTAGAATCCATAATGCTATTTAAATAATAGCTTGGAGTCCAAGATGCTCATTAACCAAAAAATCATATCATATTATTTATAAATTATCAACATGTCAATTTATTTATTTTTTTTAATTTCGTGCAAACTCATACTAATTATTTTCAATACAAAAAAAAATCACATTTTTATCGTTCTTTAAATCTATATGTATGTGCTAATTCTAGTGAATTTTTAAAACTCAATTTATCTGAACTTTCATTTAAAAGCAAAAGAATAGAGTATCAAGGGTGTTGGGTTCAATTAGTTAAGACAGGTAAATCAACTTATTTTAAGATTTCAAATTTGAATCCTAAGATATACAATTGTGTTAAAAAATTATGCCAAATATATCTTTGAGATACTTGTGAGATTGTCATTAATAATAAACAATCTTATACAACAGGGTTTAGATTAGTCTAGACAGGAAATTAAATAATAATTAGGTAATGGATTAGGAAAAGGGTTAAAGGTCATTTTTGCCATTGAATTTTTTGTTTAAGGTTTGTAGATATTCTAAACTTGATTTTAGATTATTTTTACCCTTAAACTCTTAGAATCCAATGCTTTGTTGTCATATGTCATTTATGCACCATTTGTTGATTGTTATCTACTAAATTAGACTCGTTTTGTTAACATTTTTTAGGGCCACATTGCATCCAAGTGGATGTGTGATTAGAATTTAATAGGTTCATTCTTTTTCTTTTGAAATATTCACTCGGGGACACCTAGTGTTCTAAGCTCGACTTGTTTGGATCATATTTTTTTATTAAACTCTAAAAAAAACCTAATTAAAAATGTGACTTAAAAAATGTCAAAAGAATACGTTCACCTAAGCAGATAACAGTTAACAACCAACATGTAAATGGCAAAATAATGAGACATCAAATTTTAACAATTCAAAGACAAAAATAATCTAAAATTAAGTTTAGGATATCTACATACCCTATGTGCAAAGTTTTGTAGGTAAAAATGACTCTTAGCAATAGAGCGCTAATTAAACAAATATAATTCAGCTGGCTTTGAATCTCTGCGATTCACAAATGATCTGTATGTCTAAAGAACCTGAAGGAGGAAAGCATACCTGAATAAATAAGTAGCACCAGACAGGACGTATGCGAAAACAAAAGCCACGATATGAACTCAATTCGGGAACCCAACAGATTCACTATGTTGGGAAGGGATAAAAACGCAGAGGGGAAAGCAATCTATTTCTTTTTCTTTTTCTTTTTGGTAAACGGAGAGAATATATTGGCAACCATATAGCCTGTTTAACTTCCCACACTCACCATTATTTTCGAACGTGCATGAGCAACAATTTTAGTAACTATTCTCTCCAAAAACCCGATAGTAATATTACACGTACGGTCCCAATTTTATTTCTCATTAGCGCAAACCTTTACTTTGTTTCTAATAAAGTTTCCACACTAATGGGATTTGTTTCTGGGCCTTGACCCATCCAGGTGGACAACCAAACGCTATAAATCTCGCTTTATTAACATAAATGATAAATCCACATAGCCTGTCAAATCATTTGCGCGTGGCAACTTCTATGCCACATATAAGAAAATAAAAACACAGCATCTATATGCTCTTCCCAGATCTTACAAAGATTCGAAAGACGTGACATTACATAATATAACTACATTTTCGGGAACAAAATTTAGGGCTGCAATCATTAGTATATTCCAACCAACAAATTAATCAACACTTAAACTCCGTAATAAAAGCCCTAAATAATGAGCCGAAAACAGGGGAAAACCCCTCCTTTAAATTTGCGTTGCTGTCTTTAGATTTGTTTACCACAAAACCCCATTACACGCCTTTTATTAATGCCCTAATTGTAATCTTTAAGGTGACTTCATTACGCAACTCTCTCATAACTCCCCAATCAACATTTGACAACATTCTCACCAACCTTGTTTTGTAGCCCACGAGTTAGTTCTTAGTTCCCTTACATCGTCATAGATTAATTATATTCTAACAAGCCAATCACACTATTAACTAGACCGAGTTAATCAATCCAAAAAATAAAAAATAAAAAGTAAAGATTTTCAAAAGCCAACACCGACGGAGGTAAGTAGTAAGTCGGAAGGTAATATGAGGCTAAGCTTGAAATATTCATTGTTCATGAACCTTTTCCCGCCTCAATTATTTTAAGCACGAATTCCCCATTATTGTATTCATCATTATTGAAACAATGATCTATATCAGGGAGAACATTTGAAAATCACATGCACCACACAATCTAAGGTCACTGTAATGGACATAATAAAAAACTATAAATCCAAAGAAAAGAAAAGGGTTTGCGTCATATACGTGGCAAAGATCCAAGTTATCGGGGACCCAACGCTTGGCGGCTGCACACGCAGGATTTGATCCTTGTAGGTCAGGTTAAAGTATTCCATAATCCATCTGTAAAGCTGAGTTTTTCTTCTGCTATGAGTTTATAGACAGGAGGACCCCACGACCTCCGTATTATTGCCCTAAGATCAGCAAGAGTTTCGCGGACCTTTGCAAATGATTGCTTAGCTTTTGTTCTGTGATTTTGGTTTTTATTTGTTCATACGATTATTTGATCGTGATGATGAAGTTACACCTGGATAGCTTCTCTAGCCAGTCATCTTCCTGGCCATTCATGTAAACCCTAGGGTTTTGCTTCATCGCACAGGTGTCCTCCTTAGGGTCCAAGTTCGTACCCCCACTTGGTTCAATATCATTCTTCTGTTTCAATTTCAACGCGGTTGATTACATTATGTAGTTCAGTCTTGGGGCGTGTTTGAATTCGTTCTTGTTTTGTTTTTTAAAAAATCCTAAAATTGGGTTGCAGGGATCGATGGTGATGATAATAATTAATTAATTATCCCTCCTTCTCATTAAAAATCTTATTTTCGTCGTTTGAATCAGTTTTCGGCTGCACTAGATCCTGAATTAAAATACTCCAACCTCAATCATTTTGATAAGTATGTATACTTCTCAAACGATCTTAAGAGAGAGCTTTCAATTCTATCAAACACAGTCTAATATATAACTTAGTACATGTATAAACTTCTAGAAAATTCCGCGCATAGTTTACACATGTAATTTTAATGAATTAAGCAACTGAAATATCTCTAATGATGCTGAAGAGAGGCGTTTGACAAGGTAGGCGCTTTGGTAAACCGACCTTGTTGGACGGCGTATACAATTGGGGTTTGTTGGCGGGGCATATGACTATGCTTGTGGAAATTACTAAACTAATTAAGTGTCTGATTGTAATTAGACCTTGTAATTAATCAAGACTTTCTATTCAAAGAATTGCTACGTGTTATAAAAGCGCCAAAGTTATCATGACGTTTATTGTATTAATGTATTGTGACTTCCCTTCTGTTTAGCTTGTTTTCTCTTTATGTTACTTTCAAGTATCAAAATTTTTATCTTTCACATCTATCTTCGAAATAATTGAGAGCTAAATAAGGCAAAAGGCACGCTAAAACCGGAGGCCAAATAAGCAAATGTCAGTAAAACCCAGATCCTCATATCTTCCTTTTCACGTAATCATGATCCACTGCTTCTATCCTTAATATTTTCTCTTGTCATGAACGAATAATGCTAAATCGATGAAGTTTTATACAGACGTATTAAATACATAATAACGCTTATCTCCGTAAATTGATGCGTATTTCGCTGTGATGCAGCGTTGACATCACAAATAAAATTGGTATTTAGTATTATCTCTGTAAGAAAATTTCGCCAGATACTTGTCGTGAACTCATCAAGAGCCCAACCGTAAATGCATCACAATAAAAGGATTAATTATTCACTAAATTAGCTGGCACAGTTCAGATGCGACAGAAATAAAATGGAAAAATATACACGACAGACACAGAGACAAAGGGTGCATTCGTAATTGTAACGAATTAATCATTTGACCCCCCACCAAGACCATATATAAAAAGCTTAAGTGGATTCATCATTTTGTAACTGCCTCGAAGCCGCATTGCTCACCAAACAACCTCACATTCTTCTCAATATAATATACTGCTGCTCTAGCTATATGCATAGCTACCATGTCCAAACCACCATATCTAATGGGAGATTCCATGATGAAATCCTTCAAACCAAAAGATCCTGCCCGTAAAGCTAAAATTATCACTTTCATGGCCTCCGTCCTCTTCTTCTTCATCTGCACCTCCATCTTCTATATTCTGAACCGCTCTCCCAACACCCTCGCTGGTCTCTTCAGCAACAACATCTTCTGGTTTTTCATGTCCAACACTCTTATCCTCATCATAGCTGCTGACTACGAAGCATTCTCTTCTTCCAAGACCAATCAAGATCATTACGAAGATTATGCAAGGCACCGCCAAGCCAGAAATTATAATCATTATGTCACCTCATCATCATACGGCGGTGTCCCCACCAACAAATATGAACCAGTTGATGAAAAACCTTGTGTCGTCGTCCATCCCAAGCAAGAGCTGCTCCAGGAGAAGATCAAAGAGGGTGTGCCTGACGATCAGGGGGAGAGTGAAATTGTTCCAGAACGTGTGCTGGAAATTGTGCCACAAAATAACCTTAAGAAGCTATCATCATCGAGTGAGGAAAAAACAGTACAAGATGATGGTAATAATAATAAAGCCTGTGAGGCAAAAACATTATTCCCAGTTGGAAGAGCTGTGTGGATAAGTAAAGCAGATAGGTATAATGGACATGTTAAACGAGTGGTGACTGATGAGAGAAAGAACAGAGTGAGAAGAGCAGAGACGATGAAGGTGGAAGAAGCAAGAGTAGAAGAAGAGAATAATGAGTTCTCGAGCATGTCAAACGAGGAGCTAAATAGAAGAGTGGAGGAGTTTATTCAGACATTCAACAGGCAGATTAGGCTTCAAGCAGCTAGAAATAACATTGTCCATGAAGCTTATTGATCGGAAGATCTTCAAAATGTTAGCTAGAATTAATCATGTAAGAGAAGCTAGGAATATAGTATGATGTTCCAAGATTTTTGCCGTCCTTTTGCTCTTGTAATTTTATTGTATGTGTTGTCCTTTGGCTGAATAATATAGTTGATATGTTTTGGACGTTACTCCAATGAGAGCTTATAATATCAGTCATATCTATTCTCGGGGCATAAATTTTCTTTCATTTGTCCATCCATTTTGTATTTTTCACATTTGTTTAAATATTATATGACCAATAGTATAGATATGATCATACTATCCCTGATCGATCCGTTGTTTTTATCCTTTTCTATTTTGCTTAATCCCCAGATAATACAAAACTAAACATCACGAGTCACGTGACTCAAACTTCGTGATAGATGAACAGTACTGGTATTATTGTTAGTTGCAGAGCTTCAGATGATTTTTGTTGAGGTTCTTGTAATGAATATAGAAGCAATTTTAACGCGCATTAATTATTTAATTGTTATTTTAAAGTTAAAGTGTGGAAATACACTTTTGAATTTGCAGGCAGCCAGGCACAGTACATCAAAGCCGTAACTATCACAATGCGCATAATTGACTCCTCAATATATTATAACATACATAATTAAACCATAAATCATTGTAGTTGAATCTGTAGATGATCCATCTCAACTTTGAATTTTGATCAGTCTATCTCCTTCTGATGAAGGCATCATGTGTAATACTCCTCCGTTTCATTTTACAAGTTATTTCTATCGCCTTTATCAGTACCAATGCAAAAAAAGCAAAAAGAAATAAAAGTGTGTAGAATTTCAAACATGTCTTAATATAATAAATCTAAAAAGTTATGTCATATTACTTTTTCTCTCTCATGAAAAGTAATTTTAAAAATATTTTTTAAATATTATCTAAAGAGCTACACTGTGATTTATAAATGGAATCAAATAGATATTCTAGAATGTGCCTTATAAATGAAACTGAAGGGATTATTAATTAATGTGTTATGGATCTTCATTGGCATTTCATGCATGGTTAAGGAAAGGAGTAATCACCACTAGAAGTACCCTACGAGGAAGTTAAGTGGGAAGGCTCTTGAGGGCTTGAAATTGAACCAGGTTTTGCAATTACCCTATCCCTGCAAATATATGCATTTAAGCCTTCAATTAGTCATGTTTTTCTTTGGGCCAAATTCAAGTCAGGGGCGGAGCCAGGGGGAAGTGTGGGCAGACAAATTTAAGCTTTGACCATTTATTTTGTAAAATTTTTAATATTTAAAAGAAATTAAATACTTTTATAATATAAAAATCATAAGATAAGAATAATTTAGAATTGTATAATATTTTTAAAAATTAAAAATATTTAAATTTAATTCGTACTCCATTCATTCATTATTATAAGGCATTTTTTTAAGCATATTTTAAATAGAAGACATTTTGTGTCTTACAAGGTCTAATTAATATGATTTTTCTACAAATATCCTTAATTAGAGATGTAATTAGTGAAATTTTTTAATTGAGACAACCTATTAAATAATTATAAACACATGGAAAGAATATGTAATTTAAATTTAATCAACTAACTTAATTAGTTTGTGATATAAATTAGTTAAAAATGTTTTATAATATGCTAAAATATACCGTTAGACCTTAAATTTTATATAAGGTTTCAATTCGATTATTAAATTTTATAATGTATTTTTTTAGTCATTTAACCCTAATATCGTTAGTTTCAAATGATTATTTTTTATGTCAATTGTTATTATTTTAAAAAAAATTAAACTTATTATGTCGATATTTAAAAGTTTAATGTAAAAATTTATCGAGATAAAACTAACAATGTTAGGTTAAAAAATTAAAAAAATACATTATAATGTTAAAGGACTAAAATAAAATGTTGTATAAAGTGAAATGACTAAATGTACATTTTAGTCTTTATAATATTAAAAGGAGAGAGTGTGTGTGTCTATATATATATATATAATAATAATAATAATAATAATAACAACTTTAAAAAAAATCATGTTTAAGTAATATACAAATGAGAAATTATAATATGTATGTAATTGAAGGGGAAGAGTAGATTTAAAAAAAAAAAGAAAAAAAAATTGGCGGGAGGCTACCCAGCTCACGCACAAATACATTTATATAGAAATTTATATGGAGGTAACCTAGATTTGTCCTTGTAGGTAGTTCAATTTAAAATCTTAAGTTAAAATATATATTTTATTTAAATAAAAAAATTAATTTTATATTACATTTTATTTCATAGTTAATAAATTTAAATAAAAATAGTATTAAAAAATTTAATTAATATCTTTCTAAAGACTGAATAATCTTTTAATAAAACGTCTTAGAATAGGAGGATAGGAAGAGGAGAGTAAAACCTTAACCAAAACACACAATTATACGGTCATACCTCAAAACTCGCTACAAAATTATTGTTGATGAAGACGGAAAAATTTGAGCTTCAGTTACAATCATGTGGGCCAGGATCAAGAGACAAGAAAATGACGTGACAGATTTCTTGTTACATGATGAGAAGTAATTATGGATCACTAAATCAGGTTTGGGAATAGGAATCCTTAATTTAACAAAAGTCTAAACTCTAAAGCTTTAATTGGTCGATAGTACGTAATTAAAAGATAAATATATGTATTGACTTATTCTACTTTAACCTATAGTTAGAATTAGAATTATAAACGGCCAAAGTTATTCTCGTTGAAACAACAAAGTTTAATTTAATTGATAAAAAAATTAATTTATAATCTACTAAATTGTGAGATCAAATCTCATTAATGTAAGAATCACAACATGTAAATATTTCTATAAATGTTCTTTCAACTTGAAAGCATATATTGATATTGGTTAATTTTTTAGATTAAATTCATCTAAATTTTTTGAACCAAAAAAATTATTCTCACCAGTCTTTTCCTAATGTGTCTTTAAAAAAAAAAAAAGTTATTCTCGCCGGTGAATCAACGTCTCAACAATGCACACAGGAACACGTACACAACAATAATTAATTTTCTGTTTACAAAATCTATTTTTGCAATTAAAGATTTTAAACCCAAAAAGGTGTATGAATGCTATATTATTTAGATCTATTTTAAAAATAAATTTTTACATGAATCATTTTTATTGAAATATTTTTGTATTAGAGTGTCCATTATACATGTAAAGATTTCTATGTTTTAAAAAATAAAAAGCATTTCAAGCTAAAAATATCTATAATCAATAATAATAAATGAAATTGAAAACGGGTGGATTATGGCAAATTTATAGATTTTATAACTTACTAAGATAAAGCTTATGCGCTTTCAATTTTTAAAACAATTAATCATTTTTACTATGAACACATTAACTTGCTTGTCGACCTTTTCATGCCGCCAGGACAACGTGCAATGGCCCAATTACAGCAATTAATCTAAAGATGAAACAGAGGATCAACTTGTGGTTGATGTGGTGGAGGAGGTTTTGTTTTCTTTCATTTAGGGATCGTTCCATCTGGTGCATCTCATTTTCTAGTACGTTCTTTTTACTTTTTTATAATATCTTCCTGTCCAGTCTTGTCTCTTCTGTCGTGTCGTGTTTCTGGTATCTCTTCCATTCGTTTCGACTTTTTCACGCATGTGGCTTATAATTTATCTTCCCTTTTGGTATGTAATAGATGGCAGAAAATGGCTATGGATACGTGTACACAGAAACACATGTTCTGATTTGTTGGATGTGAAAGGGCAGGCTTACCCTCATTCATGCAAATTTAGCTAATATTTATATAGTCTATGCACTCACTACTTTGAATACTTGAGCAAAAGTTATGCAGAATTCAATTATGGTCGGTCCCTACTTTCATTTTTCTCAACCTGCTCTTAATTACAAGTTATCATGATCTTTCTCTTAGCTCATACTGTTTTGTCCTTTGCGAGGTCGGAATCGTACGCCTTTATCTCCACAAACTATAACCAGTGAAGTGATTGTGTTCATTTGTTTCTGGTCTTTCAACAACTTGAACCCCTTAATTATAAGCTCCTTTAATTTCTTGCTGAAAGTATCTTCCGTGTATAACAGTCCTATGAAATCCAGTTTCAACCAGTCCCGTCTGGGGTCCGCATTCGGCAACTGCTCATCAAGGTCACGATGCCTTTCATTTCAGCTTAAATTAATCCTTACCATTCATTTAAATTAATTTTTAAATAATTTTAATATCATATTTATTAAAATAAAAAAAATATAAAAAAATTTAATATTAAATTTGAACTATTTAAAATACATTTAAATAGTTAATTTATAAATTCTAAAAATTTTTTAATATTAAATTAAGTCATTTAAATTCTATCTGAATTCAGAGTTTATTTAGATAATTAAATTATAAACTTATAAAATTTTTAAATATTAAATTGAACTGTTATATGTACTAGTCAGGTTGGTAAGGAATAGATTTATTAAAATTTTAAATTCTTTTATATTTTTATATCAATAAATATAATATTAAAAATACTTAAAAATTAATTAAAATAAAAAAATAAGGATTAAATTAAATTAAAATGGAGGGCCAAAATTGCATGAGCACGTGGTGCATCACTTAATGCAAATCCGTCTCGTCTTTACATTGTCTATAATGCGGAAACTGTGGAATTTGCTCCTTTCTAGCTTCCCGTGTTGAACCTATAACCATTCAAGGTCAGAAAATAGAGTTTTGAATGCTACAAATTGTTTTGGCGCAGTTCTCCAAACTATTTTTTTTTTTAAATAACGTGAGTTGAAATGACTTATTCAAAAGAAAAATATTTAAAAAAGAAGTTGTTGGGAGGAAAACTAAAGCATGATTCGTCTTATTCACGTCATTGGGCTTTATACTGATTGATTTTTATGTGGATGGGCTTTTTAATTATAAATGAAAAATGATTAGGGTTAACAAAACTAACCCAGTGAATATGTGATTCACTAACAAACCGAGCGTTCTCTTATCATTAATAATCTTGGCTCTCTCAAATATGCTGCTGATGGAGTTAATTCTTGAACGGGTGAAGTGCTTTATTTATCATTTGCTCAAAAGCTAAATAATATTTTTTTTATACAAGATATTAGAGTGGGTAATTTGGATTAAGTCTGAAAAATTTTTAGATTGAACTTAGCAAAATAATAATTTTTTAATGTTTTAC